TAGGCACGCGGCAGCGGCCCCCCGGGCGTCCTACGGTCCTTGGCTCTGCCTCCTGGTGGCCCTCGCCCTGGACGTCGTGAGAGGTCAGCGGGAGGGGAGGGGGGTGACGAGGGGCGGCTGGGCCGGGCAGAGGGCAGGCGCTAATGATGCCCCCGAGCCCGGAACCTTCGGATTTTAAGACTAAACCTGGAGCGGGATGCCCTGCAGCGAGCCCTGCAAGCTGGCGAGGTCCTGACCCCGGGAACCTGTCCCCAGCTGCTCGCCACGATTGCTTCCTTCACCTGCACAGCCCGGCAGCTCCGTCCTGGCCAGGACCAGCACGGCCCAGGCTCTTTCCTTTCCTCTCCTCCCGGGTCCCGCACCTCCGGCCAGCGTCCCCCCTAGCAGGACATCTGACCCGGCTGCCCAGTCTCCACCACTCCCTCGTCTGCGGTCCACAGAGCAGGTCCACAGAGCAGCACTCGGGGGTCCTAACTCTGCCCCCTGCCGCCACCCCCTTCCCACGGGAATGGAAAGCAGCCCCTTTGCCTGGGACCTGGGAACTATGTGCCCCTTCCCCACAGGAAGCTCCTGACCTTGGGGTCTGGAGAGATGGCCCTGGGCTCCCTGCCTTTCCGGGCCTTGGGTTATTCGCATCCCTAGGGGTGGGGGTCAGATTGGCTTGGCATTAAGGTAAATGATGCCACCAGAGAGCAGGGGAGAGTGAGGCGTTCGCCACTCGCCTTCCCCCACCCGGAGAACTGAGCTCTCAGTGACGGGAATCCGTGGGAGTCAGGCGACAGAGCATCTTGTAATTATGGAGACAGTGGAGTGGGAGGCCAGGGGCTGTCCCCTGGGAGCAGCAGTCACCTGTTACACTTGGGGGAGGTAGTGGAGGGGCAGCTCTGACACTTGCTCCTTGGTGGGGAGGGCCAGGAAGGAGGTTGAAACCCAGTGTCCCCCCCACCACCACCACCCAGTCCAGCTGTGGTCTGAGAGGCTGTGGGATGCTTTCAGCCACCTGCTCCCCATCTGAGGGATCCAGTGGGAGCCCTAATAACCCCTTGCACAGGGAGAGGAGGAGGCATCATCCTATCTATTATGCAGCAGCAATAATCCCTCCTACAGAGAGCACAACCCGGTTTGCAAAGCCCTCCCCTGCCCACGGTGTGGCCACGCTCCTGCCCTGTGTACAGGTGAGGGAGCTGAGGCTCCGAGGGGTTCACAAGTGACCCAGGTTTCACTGAGGCAGAGCTAGGACTTAGGTCTCCGGGCTCCCAGGAAGTCCTTTCCAGGAAGGATTTCTCAGCTGGGGGGGAATTCCAGGATGAGTAAGAGAGGCCTCCAGTTGATAGACAGGAAGATTGCTAACTCAGAGGCTTCCACCTGAGATTAAAAGACAAGAAGGTTGAATAACCGAGGAGGGCTTCTTCCATGAGACGCCCCCCCCCCCAATCCTATCCTTCACCTGACAGGAGGAGAGACACAGTCCAGGAAAGAAAGCTTGCCTGGTGCATTCTGGCAGTGCAGGATTGGGAGAGAGGAGGCTGATGGAGAGAGAGGGTAGCCTCGTAGTCAGTGCTTGGGCTCCCAGCTCCACCACTGTCTACCTGTGGAACCTCCAACAAGTACCTCAACATTTGCCTTATCTTCCACATTTGCAAAATGGGATCAATAGTCAACAGGACCTGGTTCACAGAGTCATTACAAGAACTGAAAGAGTTAATGCATGTAACGTGTTCGTGCTATATGCCATCACTTTGGTTTTATATAGTACCTGCATATAGTTAATATTCAAAAAGTGATAGGTATTGGGGCCAGCAGTTGGCATAGTGGCTATGTCACTGGACTCCCACATAGTCAACCGTGGTTCGAGTCCTGGACCCGGTGGCTTAAACTCACACCAGGCGTGTGTGCGTGCGTACCCAAGATCCCAAGGGGAGAGTGGAAGAGAAGGGATCGCAGCATGACCATCCCCCGGGGGGGTGATTTCTCGCTTTCTGTCTCTCTCTGTCTTCCCAGCGAGCACACGCACCCTATAGCAAAAACCTCTTTAAAAAAAAAAAAAAGGAAAACCAAAGTGATGGCTATTATTATTCATGCTAATAATTAGGAACAAACCAATGTGGCCTAGGTGGTCCTTTGTCCTTCTGGAGGTTGAATTTTTTTTTTTAGCAAGTATTTTACTTTATTTTCATTTGATCAGAGAGGGACAGACTGAGAGACAGGGAGAGAGAGAAAGGGGGAGTGAAAAAGCAAGTCGCCAGGTCCGGGACTTGAACTGCAGTTGGCCATGTGGAAGTCCAGTGCCCTTCACCACCACACCACCTGCCGACCCTGGTGGTTGAGTATTTTGACTGTGTCCCCAGGTGCACGATCTCCACCCCACCCCTAGAGGTACAAGTGCTCCACCGCCCTCCTGGACACCCTTTCTCACCCGGCTCTTGCATTCCAGCATGCAGTTGAGACAGGGAAGGGTGAGCAAGCTTGGAAAGTCAGTGTGGGTTGCCATGGCAATGATGCAGTGGATGCCCAACCAAGTCTGGCCAAGGACCCCGAGACAGAAAGGGTCTCCACTTCTAGAAAGTTCACCTCATCACCATCTTTTATTGCAGAGACCCCATCTAGGGAGAGCCATACTCCAGTAATGCCTTGGTATGCCTTAGGGTGGGAGCAGGAAGGGAGGAGGAAGAGCCGTTGAGAAGGCCGTGGTAGAGGGAGGAGGGGCGAGGCCAGTGGAAGGTAGGAGGGATGGCTGAGAAGGTGGCGTCCTGAGCTCAGGCGCAGATCTCGGCTCTTACATGTTACCTAGATGAAGCTCACTGGGTCTCAGGTATCTTATCTATGACATGGGGGAGACTCCCCACCACACCCAGGAAGGTGGGACATAGGTAGCCCTTTTCTTCACCACCTGCCACGACTGTGCTCCAGAATAAGTTCAGTCCCATCCTTGCCACCTCTGGCACTGTCACCACTCTACCCCTTATCTCTCTTCAGTGGACTGTGACAAGGACCCCCTGGACCCTGTCTACCTGCCAGCAGCCCTAGAGCTCCTGGATGGCCCTGAGCATTTCCGTGTGCAGCAGGTGGGCCGTTACCCTCCTGCCAACTCCTCTCTGGGCTCCCGATCTGAGACCTTTCTGCTCCTGCAGCCCTGGCCTAGGGCCCAGCCACTTCTTCGGGCCTCCTACCCGCCCTTTGCCACCCAGCAGGTAAGGAAGGGGCACTTGGAATGTGTGCGGCCAGTGACCCGCCACAGCCCCAGCTGTGCTCCCCATTTCCAGAGGGGGGAAAGTGAGGCCCTTAAAGGTTCTCTCTGGGATTGGAAGTCTGGCATCCCGTCTCCCCAGATCTTGGTCTCTGTGCCTTCTCTGCCCCACCTACCGCCCACTCTGTTGAGTCTCCTCATTCTCCCTCCAGGTGGTGCCTCCTCGGATCACCAAGCCCCACCAGCGGCCAGTCCCATGGGACGTGCGGGCTGTTTCAGTGGAAGCGTCCGTGAGTCCAGCAGAGCCCCATGCTCGTGTCCTCTTCCACCTCAAAGGGCAGGATTGGCCACCAGGGCCTGGCTCCTTGCCCTGTGCCCGGCTGCACGCCACACACCCTGCAGGCACTGCTCACCAGGCCTGCCGCTTCCAGGTGAGCGTACTGCTGCACCCCTGCTGCTGCTCCAGGCAGAGGGTCATCCCAGGGCGGAGAGCAAAAGGCACACTGCTCCTGGGAAGATGGGGGGTCGTAGACCACCTGACTCCATTCTGCTCATATTCAGTCCTGAGAAAGTTATTTAGGGCCCCTGAAGAAGTTCAATCCATTGTGACTTAGGCAAGTCACTTAATCTCTCCGAGACTCAGTTTCCTCACCGGTTAAATGAGGAATAACAATTCTTGCCTCAAAAAATAAAATAAAATAGGGACCAGCAATTAGTGTAATTGTGGCTATGTCGCTGGACTCCCATGTAGTCAACCGCGGTTCGAGTTCGGGACCCAGTGGCTTAAACTCACGCTGGGCACATGTGTGTGCGTGCCTAAGATCCTGAGAGGAGAATAAAAAAGGGATTGTGGTGTGGCCATCCTTCCTGGGGGGCGATTTCTTGCTTTCTGTCTCTCTGTCTCTCTCTTTCTGGCGAGCGCACGCACCCTATAGCAAAAACCTCTCCATAAATAAATGAATAAAATAAAATAAAAAAGCAAATAAAAAAAAGAGAAAAACTTTTAAAAAAAAAAGCAATTCCTACCTCATATGGAGTTGGAGCAAGAAGAAATGAGGTTAATGCAAAAATAGCTTATAGCAAGGTACTCATTCAATTGTGTTAGGATTCTTGTTAATATGCCTTTGAGAATTGCTGTTTCTACCATTTTGGAGTCTGGCGCAGGAATTCTTTGGAGAGAGGCACTTCTCGGGCTTTAGGATTTTGAGAGGAAGCCTGAGTTCTAGTCAGGGCCATACTGGGTGTGGTTAAGGTGAAGGGCTGGAACTGGCCCACTATGGCATGACAGCTGGGAAGTGTTCTGGGACCTGGACCTGGTTTCAAGCCCTAGCCATGTTGCTAGTTGGCTGTGTCACCTGGGGTACTTCCCTGGCCCACACTGGCCCTGCCTGCCGTGGCCCCCTCCACCTCTGGGTTTCCTGCATGGGTGCTGGGACTCTCCTCCTTGAGGTGCCAGCCCTGGCCGTTCTGTCTTTGCAGCCATCGCTGGGTGCCTGCGTGGTGGAGCTGGAGTTCCCTTCGCACTGGTTCTCTCAGGGTTCTACCACACGGGCCGAGCTGGCCTACACACTGGAGCCTGCAGCAGAAGGCCCTGGGGGCTGCGGGTCCGGCAGTGAGGAGGCCCCCAGAGAACAGGCCCTCCCAGTGGGTGGTGTGGAGCTGCGCCCTGCAGACCCCCCACAGTACCAGGAGGTACCTCTGGATGAGGCGGTGACTCTGCGCGTGCCCGATGTGCCAGTGCGGCCCGGCCAGCTCTTCAGTGCCACCCTCCTGCTTCGGCACAACTTCACGGCCAGCCTCTTGACCCTGCGGTGAGCCCTGGGCCCCTGGGCATCGGTGGGATTGGGAGATCTGCTGGAAAACTGGGCAGGTACCTACTCTTCTTGGGGTCCTTGCTAGAGTCCTTGACCTCTGCAAAATATGGACCCACCACACCCCTTCCAGGCCAAGGGCTGTGATTGCCCTGGCCAGTTGGGGGGTGGCCACAGCCCTGTATTTGGGGTCAGAAGGAGGAAGTCTCCTCTCTCCCCAGAACTTCCCTGCACTCTCCTGTTCGAAAGGGGCTAGCCTTACCTCTTTCCAGAGCAGCTGTAAGGCTCCGGGAAGGGAACCAGGAAAGCACTTGAAAATGGGAAATGCAGCCCCCGGGGGTGAGCTACTGCTCTAGTGCCAGGATGGGGAATACTTGTCCCAGTCACATTCATCTGCATGTCCTCGCCACTTGCTGAGGGTTCTTAGCTTTTGGACAGATCCTGCTCCTCTGGCAGGAAGCCTTTATTCTTTGACTCCTTTCCTGTAGGAAGCTCCCCTGTCCCCCAGAAGCAGCTCCCCAACCCAATCCACGTGACAAGAATTTGCCATGTTCCTTGCCCCTCATCTGTGGGTTTCTGCATGTCCCATCCCCTGTGTGTCCCTCTCTCTCACACCCTCCTTACGGGGAAACTAACGATAGGCCATGCCCCTCCACTCTGGAGTTACACAGGGGAGCCAGGCCCAGTCCCCCCCTGGCACAGAGAGTGGTCGGGAAGGAAGCTGGAGGGGCATGAACTGGATTGGCAGGCACATGGGTGTAAGTTTCAGTGAAGGTGGAAGGTGCTGCTGGTGCTCAGGTCAAGGGGTGGAGTAAGCAGGAAATTGATTCTGCCGCTGGGAGTTTTCTAAAGGAAATGATATTGGAGTTGTTTGAGGCTTAAGAATCCACAGATGAACAAAGGAAGGGCAGACTGGGCTGAAGACGCCTGAGCCGAGGCGTGGAGCCATGAATGTGCCTGGTGTGGGGTCGGGGGACGGACTTCTGATGCAGCTGAAGCTGAGTGGACAGAGATGCCGCAGCGAGAGCTGGGGCTCCAGGCACTGGAGGGTCTTGAGTACTTGGCTAAGAGAACTTTGTGAGCAGTGGGGAGGTGTAAGTGGTCTTTGGGTGGTGGGGAGCTGTGTGGTGTTTGAGGTGGGGTCCTCGTGGGTTGGAGGATGGAGAGGAGGAGATTCAGACTGGGGCTGAGGCAGCAGGCCAGGAAGCTGATGTCTTTAGGCCCTCGTCTTGCCCCTCAGAGCCAGTGCACAGTGCAGCTCCCACCTTGACAAACTGGGCCTATCACTTCTCCCCAGGATCAAGGTGAAGAAGGGGCTGCATGTGACAGCTGCCCGCCCAGTCCAGCCCACCCTCTGGACTGCCAAGCTGGACCGCTTCAAGGGCTCCAAGCACCATACCACCCTCATCACCTGCCACCGTGCTGGACTCGCAGAGCCAGACACCAGGTAGGCAGCTCCCCTCCCACAGGGGACAGAGCACGGAGGGTGGTCTCAGGTGCTCACGGGACCCAAAGGACGGGGGCAGCCATGCTGCAGGCATATCCTTACATGAGCAGGCATGAGAACAAACTTTCAGGGAAGCAGCACAAAGCTGGTGTAGCTTTCATTCATTCAGCGCTGTTTATCCAGACTCAGCCATGCACCAGGTCCAGCCTGTGTGTCTTAGTCCAGGTCAAGCCAATTTATCCAGGGCACCCAGCCATAGTGCTCACAGCTACCCGACCCCAATCCACCAACTGGGGCCCTTTCTCTGCACCTTTAATATTAAAAAGCACAGCTGTAGTTCTTTTTTACATTTCTTTTTTAGGTTTCTGCCATAGGGCACGTATGCTGGTCCCCAGAGGGGTTGGCCATGCTGCAATCCCTTCTCCATTCTCTCTCAGGATTTGGGGCTTGTACGCACATGCACCAATATGATTTTCAAGCTGCTGGATCTGAGGCTTGAACCATAGTGGGCCATGTGGGAATCCAGCACCTTAACTACCATGCCATCTACTGGTTCCACAGCTGTAGCTCTTAACATTTATGAACTCTTTTTTTTTTTTTGCTATAGGGCACGTGCATTCACCAGACAGACAAGAGAGAGACAGAGAGATAGAAAGCGAGAAATCACCCCCCAGGGAGGATGGCCATGCCACAATCCCTTCTCCTCTATTCTCCTCTCGGAATCTTAGGCACGCATGCACATGCGCCCGGTGTGAGTTTAAGCCACCGGGTCCGGGACTCAAACCGCGGTTGGCTACATGGGAGTTCAGCGACATAGCCATTATGTTAACTGCTGGTCCCTATGAAGTCTTCTTATTCGTGTCTGAGCCTGGTAAAAGTCGAGGGCTTTGTAGCCCCTTTGAATACAGGTTCTAATATTTTCTGGATGAATAACCTCAGATAAAGATGCCAGTTAACACCCACCTGTTTACCACCTCAGTTTCCTCACTTACGAAATGGAGACAACAAGGCACCCTCTAGGGTTTGTGAAAATAAAATAAGATACTGCATGCCAAGCTCCCAGGACTGTACCTCACACACAGTAGGGGTCTGTTCAAAGAAACTCCAAGGGTTATTAGTCAGAGGGGATTGGGACTTGGAAGTAAATCTCCCTCCTTGGTGGGAACTGACATCAGGTGCTTGTCCCCCCCTGGCTGTGGAAAGTAGGGGTCCAGAGGAAGGGGCCAGGGAAGGCGGGGAGCCAGCGAGCCTCCTGGGAGATTGTTGAGTAGCTGCATGGATCTTAGAGGAGCCAAGAACAGATAAGAGCTCGCGCTCCAGAGCCTGGATGCTTAGCTTTAGATAACCGCCCTGCCAGTTTTCTCTGCGCGATCTTAGGTGAGTTACTAACCTCTGCACCTCAGTTTCCTCATCTGTAAAATGGAGATAAGCTCATTCTAGGGGTAGGACAGTGCCTGGTGGCGAGCAAGCACTCAGTTCCTCTCTCTTCTGGCCAGCAGTCCCCTTGAACTGTCTGAGTTCCTGTGGGTGGACTTTGTGGTGGAGAATGGCACTGGTGGGGGTGTGGCCGTCACTCGCCCTGTCACGTGGCAGCTGGAATACCCAGGCCAGGCCCCCGAAGCAGAGAAGGACAAAATGGTATGGGAAATCCTGGTGTCAGAGCGAGACATAAGAGCCCTCATCCCCCTGGCTAAGGTAAGGAGACCTACATCTGCCCAGCCAGGCTGGGGGCCACGTCCCAGGAGCCTGATGGGCTGAGGGGCTTGGAGCTGAGCTCCTCTCGCACCCCCAGGCTGAGGAGCTGGTGAACACAGCGCCGTTGACAGGAGTGCCTCAGCGTGTCCCTGTGCGCCTTGTCACCGTGGATGGTGGTGGGGGCCTGGTGGAAGTGACAGAGCACATTGGCTGCGAATCGGCCAACACACAGGTCCTGCAGGTGAGTGGCAGGTGCCAGCCACCTCGTGTGAGTGTGCATTTGTGTGTGCACAGTCGCACACATCTCTTTCCTTAACCCTTTGGGTACCCAAGAGAACAGTTGCTTCTTGAGAAAAGAAACCTCAGAGGAACCACAGCTTTAACTTCCATTCTAACTGCCTCTCCCCAGAGTCAAGTGGGAGCTAGGTGACCCCAGGGCCCCCATCTTTGGCATGATCATGTTCATTACTGCATTGGCAAATGAGCCGGTGTGGGAGAACTAAGGGCAGGTACTTGGCAATCAATCAGGAGGTTTTAGTTTGAAATCTAGCTTTGTGGGACCAGCGGTTAGCGTAGGGGCTATGTCACTGGACTCCCATGTAGTTGACCATGGTTCGAGTCCCAGACCTGGCAGCTTAAACTCACGCTGGCACGTGTGTGTGTGTGCCCAAGATCCCAAGAGGAGAAAGGAGGAGAAGGGATTGCGGTGTGGCCATCCTCCCTGGGGGGTGATTTCTTGCCTTCTGTCTCTCTGTCTCTCTCTGTCTTTCTGGCAAGTGCACACGCCCTATAGCAAAAACATCTCAAAAAAAAAAAAAAAGAAAAGGAAATCTAGCTTTGTAATCCTAGCTGTGTGATTGGTGGATTCCTCTCTCAACCTTTCTGAGATTTTGTTTCCTAACCTTTGAAAGGGGCCTCCATCTATGGGTGGTGGTAAGAATTAAAAGCATCTAAGAGAGTGCCTAGTAGATCCCAGGAGCTGAGCCAATGACAGCTACTGCTGAAATAATAATATAATGTCAAAACTATATAATGATAAAACTGATGGTGACTGTTATTATCAGAGCCTCATCAAGCCAGAAAGGTTAAACAAGGGCAGGGTAAGACTGTCCATTTTGCAGTTGAACGAGGGGAAGCGTGGAACCTGCATTTTCACATTGCACTCTGGCCACCGGGGTGGAGAAGGTGTCTTTTCTCACTAGAGCGGCCCTTTGCTCACATGTACGAGTGGACTTCGAATGGTCTGTGGCAAAATAGAATTCAAGTGCGAGTTTCTTCTGATGGGAAGAATATTTGAATCCATGCATAGTTTTTTTTCGTACTATGTATTTTCCATGAACTTTGTGAAGCCGCTCCTCCTGCCATGTAAGACTCTTACCTGAGGGCACTTGGGTGGGCAGGTCAGCCTTACCCCTCTGCCTCTGCCTACCCAGCTGTAAGTGGCTGCCAGGTAGCCCCAGCAGTAACATCAGATGCCGTCGCTAATAAGGAGCCAGAGCTGTGGGTTCGAGCCCCTGCTGTTCCAGGAGGAAGGCTCTGGTGTGCATGAAGAGCCCGTTTCCCCAGCTGAGCTCAAGATAAACTGAAAGGTGGGCTGTTTCCTCCAAGGTAGAGCAGATCTTGGCTGCATGGTGAAATCTTCTATACGGTACAATGGTTTAATCTCCAGCCCACCATGTCATGCTTCACAGAGAAATACAAACTGAAGGTCAGCTGTAGCCCTTACCTCTTGGGATCAGGGCTGTCCCCTCTGGCCCATACCAGTCCTTCTTGGCTCAGCCACCCTGGCCCACTTCACCCCCTCCTCCCGCAGGTATCTGAAGCCTGTGATGCTGTGTTTGTGGCTGGCAAGGAGAGCCGGGGTGCTCAGGGGGTGCGTGTGGACTTCTGGTGGCGCCGGTTGCGGGCCTCCTTGCGGCTGACAGTGTGGGCGCCGCTGTTGCCCCTGCACATTGAGCTGACTGACACCACCCTGGAGCAGGTCCGTGGCTGGAGGGTACCTGGCCCAGCTGAAGGGTGAGTAGAGACCTGGGGAAGCTGGCAGATCTGGGCGAGGTCACCGTGGGACAGAGAGAGGATGCAGGAGACATAGCCATGGGCCCAAGCCGAGATCTGAGGATCCAGTGCCTTCTGCCCCTCCCACCTTTGACCCGTCCTCCCTAACCTCTGACCACTTCATTTTCAGTTGCCCACCCCTACACTGCTGCTCTGCCTCACTTCTGCATAGTACCATCACTTCTTAACCTACTACACAACGTCCTACATAATGCACTGGTTAATTCTGGCCGCCGGGTGTGCACCCATTCTGCACTCCACTCCGGAGTGCAAGCCCCTTGAAGGCAGGGTTTTTTCCTATTCTGTTCACTCCTATATCGCCAAAACCTAAGGTGGCACGGAGCTTAATAAACGCTGAGGACGCACGCCAGCACCAGAGGGTGAGCTGCCCAGGTCTCAGATCTATTGCCCAGGCCTCGAATCTACCGCCCACGTCCTCAAGAGAACGAAAACCCGTTGGTCCCTGTAAGAGAGGGTCTCCACACTGTTCCAGTTGGGAGTAAAAGGCGGATGAGCGCGCGTGGGCAGATGGGCGCACGCACGTAGCAGGGGCTGGAATGTCCACGCTGTGGGTGGAAGGGCCTGACTCCAAGATCCGCAGTTTGATGAGTAGGAGCCTCTCAAAGGGCAGGGGCGGGGTCCTCGTAGTCTGGGGACGGGGGCCTGCACTGACGCCCCGCCTCTGGCCGCCCCTCCCCGCAGGGTAGTGGAGTCAGAGGCCGCCACTGCAGAGGAGACCGAGCCGCG